CAAAATGTTGAAAACAAATCAGTCTTCTTGATAAAGTGAATTGTGTGCAGATCTACTAGCAGTATTAACCTACAAGGTGTGTCAAAAGTAGAGGAAAAAAATATTTTCTTTTCCCCCCTGTATATCCGGCGAGTACTAAATTACTTTTAGATGTCCGAATAATAATCTTAAAATAACAGTATTTTATCTAAAAGTTGCTAAAAACTTCAAATAAATCAGCCTCCGCATTTGAAAGTTAGAGCATTTTTAAATAAATCATTATTTTGAATGGATCGAATTTTAAATCGGTGAGTGTATTTCTTAAAATTTCAGTTAAAAATAAATATGTCTTCAGGCCTCTACCTTCCATCAAATTGAAAATAAAATACATAAAATTCTAGTAAAAAACATAAACTAAATGCACCTATTCACAAGTGCCTGGCATCAAACTTTTACATTAATAAACACATCAAGAAAATCCCAAATATTATGTCACGAAAGTCTTCAATCTTGTTCAATCCAGTTAAAACCAGTTTATAATCGTTTATGCACGGCGAATTGCGTAGTTCTAAGCTGAACTCAGTCTTCTTTTGATAATCGCAAAAGTAAGATCTTTGTTTTAAGTTGTAATGAGTTTGTCAGTGAAGAAGGGGCAGTAGAGGAGCTACTAACTGTTCTATATTTGAAACAAATAAATTAAAAGCCAAAGAAGAAAGAAAAACTAAGATCAAGGCGTATGCAAATCAGCTTCCTCTTAAGTTTGAAGTTGACAATGACAACATTGAAAACTTTGAGCGAGACAGTATTTCTTATTCATCTGAGTCTGAGATATCAGAAGAGCTTGAGAATTTGACAGAAAAACAAAAAGTTAAGTCAACGCTTAAATTAACATCAGGTTGCAGTACAAGCCAACAAATGAGATTGCCTATTCCCAACCTAGCTCGTATTTCTGACCAATTTCGCATTTCGGACCGTTCTTCAGCAGCGCTTGCATCTGCTATATTACAGTATATGGGAGTTATTTCGAAAGAAACATCGTCTTCAGTTATTGACCAAAGTAAGGTCCGAACAGCTCGTCAAAAACACCGTTTTCATTTAAAAAGCGGGAAAAATCCGCCAACGGTCGAACGGGCTATTTTTTTGCAAACGCTTTAAAATATTTTTTTCTTACTTTAAAACTTTAAAATGTGTCCTTTAATTTAGATGTTAAAAAAATTTGAACTACATCATTTTGATTGATTTTTTGTTGTAGAATCTGCTAAATAATAATACTAGACCATCCAAAAAGCAATAAACCATACCAAATTTTCTTAATTTATGACCAGGTTAAAGTTCGTCAAAATGATCTAATTTTTATGAACCCAATGACAATTGACATTGGCAGTGTGACATGTGTCTAAAAGAAATACAATATTGTCATATTAATTAATACATAGCAATGGTCATTTTTACCCATGCCCTGTGTTGTACTAGGCCAACCAATTGACTTAAGTATCAGAAAAATTATATAAAACTAACCAATTAAAAAATACCCATATCAAGATCTTCTTCCTCACCCGTATCGGCAGAGTACTCTTTGACGTCAATATTGATATACAATAAGAAGACGAAGCAACGACTTCTTGTAGGATGGTGGCTTTGCCGCCACCAGAAAATTTTTACTCATACCTGGCTATGCCGACCGGCATAGACTCTAACGGTCTGAACTCAGCTAAAATTGAAAAAATCATCATCATCATAAAATGAAATAAAAAGACGGATGTCTGATTACTACAAATGTTTTGACTTCGGGATCCCAATTCACTTGCTGGTCAGACACTATTTAAATTTTCGGCTATGGTGTATGGCCTGGAGCCATTTCCAAACAGCCAACTTTCAATAACCGAACTATTTCCTGACGTACTTACTCGATTTGTCACCGCATTTATAGATACTAGAAACGTCAATTTTCATTGAAAATAATTTACTGTCTATTTGTTTTTCTAACAAACTAAAAATGAAAAATAAGAAAATTTTATCGTTTATGAAAATATTTGGTATGGTTTATTGCTCTATGAATGGTCTTATATTGATATTTAGCCGTTTCTACAGGAAATCAGTGAAAATGGTTTATTTCACATTTGTCTTATGATGGAGACCCGACAAAAAATTTTAAGGATTATAAGGTAAAAAAATTTTTTTAGTGTCAGCAGCTCTAAAATAGTTATACATGGTGTATTTCAAACTTTCTATAAAATTTTAATAGTTATATCCGCCGTTCGAGTATCGGCGTATAATAGCAAAAAGCGAATTTCAAACATCCACTCCGGAGATTAGAGCAATATACTTCGATGGAAGAAAGGATAAAACGATGTGCCAGGAAGAAATTAGAAACACATTTCATCGCTAAATAAAAATCTAAGAACATAATACCTATATCATTGCTCAAAGAACCAGGTTCAAAATATATGGGTCACATTACACCAACAACAGGTACGGGGAAACATATTGCCATATCTATAGTTAATTATCTACAAGAATTTGACATATAAGCTTTTAGTAGTAGGCTGCGATGGTACAGCAGTTAATACAGAAAGTCCGGAGTTTTGGGGCATTTAGAAACAAAACTAAAACGTCCTCTGCAGAGAATGATATGTCAGCTACATATGAATGGACTGCCTCTTTGTCATATTTTTCAATATCTTAACGTAGTAACTTCAGAAGCTCGTGTATACTCTGGAGATATAGGAAAAATGTTGGAGTGTTGCGAAAAATTGCCCGTTGTAAATTTTGTTCCTATTGTTAGCCGTTTATCAGAATTAGATGCTGCAGCTATTAGGAATCTTAGCACTGATCAAAAGTATTTATATGAAATGTGTCACTCAATTTCTAGAGGAAACTGTTTATTAGATCTAGCAGCTCGTAATTCAGGTAAATTATCCCACGCACGATGATTTACAAAGGCAAACCGTATATTGCGTCTTTACACCGAAAGTAAATGTCCGTCTACAAATTTAAGAACAATCGCAGAATTAATGGTAAAAGTTTATGCGCCAATGTGGTTTGAAATTAAAAGAAAACCTTCTTGTAGTGATGGAGGAAGATACCTTTTTAGAATGATACAGTTATCACGCTACTTCAACAACGAATTAAAGGTAGTCATCGATCCTGTTATCAAACGAAATGCGTATTTTTGTCATCCGGAGAACCTTCTTTTAGCAATGCTTTCTGATTATCGTCCTGCTATAAGACAACTTGGCTTACGAAGAATATTAAAGGCGCGCACAAACATATCTACAGACGTAAGGGAATTTGTTATTCCTGAATTCGATTTCGATGCCAGTGAATATTAGGAGCTTATTGATTGGCAAAATTGCTCCGTTACGGCACCACCTTTTTTAAGTACTACAACTGATGGAGATATCAGAGAATTTTTAAACGATACAGGAACTTGTCCTGTAGATTTATTGTCCTTTCCTTGCCATACACAGGCAGTAGAGCGGTGCGTGAAGCTTCCAATACTGTTTTCAGCCATGACTCTAGAGATGGGTTTATGCGTTCAAGGATTTATTCTAGATCGATACTACCTCGATTTAACACTTATATTGTTAAGTTGTACTTGCTTTCGTTTATAAACAAAACATTTTAAAATTGTTTATTTTCATTTTTATTAAAATATATGCGTAAGTGATACTATTTCATTTGTTACTCCGTTTTATTAGATTATTCGGGAAATCGGAAAATTCAGGTAGGTGTAAAGCCCTGGAGATGACATTTTAAAAATAAAATAAAAATAGCCCGCTAAACATTCTCACATTTAGCAACTGTTTTGCACTATTACGTTTCGAAAATAAAATAAAAAATATTTTCTTCCTGTTTCACTCTACCCTAGTGTACGTACCAAAGAATAGCGCACCCTCGCTCCATCGCACAATACATTTGTATTAAATTGATTGACATCAACTTAACCATCGCCTATCCTGACATTTTCGACATGTAAACGCTCTAAGAATCGGATAATATACAAAATTTCTTAGCTAGATAGTAGAACATGCAATTAAAACCGCGGTTGCTGAAATTATGGTCTTGTATCGGTTTCAATGGAAATATAGGAAAGTTCTTTGAATACGTATGGGTTTTATTCAGTAAATAATATTTTAAACTGTATTATTATGCAGGTAGTGGACATCTTAAGTTTAGAGGCGAAACACTAATGCTTCGTTTACTCGAGAAATGACTTGATTATTTTCATTGAAAACGACATCAGGGTCTAATAAAAGTAACTGTTTCGAACTATATGATTTTAATACCTCAATTGCTTTTTAGCGGTTGACTCATTGAGTTTTGCAAATAAGCACTTCAACCATTGAAAATGTTAAAGATTTGCCATTTAATAATAAACACTACTTTTCTAATTCATGTATTATATAGTTAGTATGAAATTTAATTTTAATAGTAACCGGTTAAATTTGAAATGAGATTATTAGAATTATTTTTGTATCTTTGGTTTATCTCTATATGCTAGATTTAATATGCTTGATTTTTTTGTACTATTCGCAATCCTCTGCTGTCACTCTAATCCGTCAGTAGTATGGCAGCGTGGCGGAACTGCAGCCTTTAAGGCTTATTGTGTTTTCATTTAAAGGTCCTACTGCCATACTGTGGGGGTTTTATAAGGACAACGTTAAAACAGTTATATAATTAAATAACAGTAGATAACCATTTGCTTTTTATTTATTTAGTATAATGTTCTTTATCAATTTTAATTTTGAATGCTCAAACCAAATGAAACTACTAAGAAAATTGAATTGCTATTAATTTACTTTTACTCCAATAGGATTAAATACAGTAGACAGCTCAAATGTCTATCGATCTGTTAAAGCAATACAGACTCAAACGTTTTCAACTCAGCTTATGCGCATTTAACCTCTTCAGCAATCAAAACAACTTGATTCTTCCAAGCCTGACCTAGTGGTCATGGTGTCGCGGTGTATAGCTACGGTGGAAGGCAACTAAATTTGAATTAGGTTTGTACATCATACGTCATGTCGCCGTAGCCCACGGTCGTCATGGTGACCACTGCCCACCAGAACGCGTCTGGGATAGACTTGAAGAAGGAATTTTCTGAACCGGCTTCTGCGAAGTAGACAGCACTAGAGAACAGCACGACACCTGTAAGGAGGAGGATGGGTGAGTAGTGCAACTTTAAGGACACTGTACCTCATGTCTCCGTAACCGACGGTCGTCATAGTGACCACGGCCCACCAAAATGCGTCCGGTATGGACTTGAAGAAGGACTGTTCGGCTCCGGCTTCCGCGAAGTAGACGATGCTGCTAAAGAGGACGACACCTGAAACAGACAAAGGCAACGGGGCCGAATCGGCCGAGCGAGTGGATCAGTTGTCTCTCCTTCTATAAATATAATTTGTAAGTTTTGTAAATTTACTGCATGTTTCATGTTTTTGTACATAATAAGTACTTAAGCGTGTTATATAAAACAAATCAAAGTAGCCACAGACTATGCCACGAAAAACAAAGTTAATCAAAATAATTGCCAAAATAGAAAAGTAAATGTTCAACAAATATTAAAAATTTCTGATATGGGGACCATTTTATTACATTTATAAAAAAACAGGACGTATAGTTAGAGGTAGGTGAAATGTCATGCATTTCTCAATGCCCTCTGATTTCATTACGAGGTTTTACAAATCCTATATTAAATAAGTTAAAAAGATTGAAATCAAGTTGTTTTTTTTACAAAAAAATACATACATAAGCTACTCTATTACGGTTCAGATGTTGACTATGTGCGTACACAATGTGTAAAGTAAGTTGAAGCAACAGTAGGAATAAAAATAATCTGTTCTAATCCAACTCGTCTTACGCACCATTCAACTGAATGATATTTTTGATGTTAGATCAATTTATTTACATTGTATAAGTTTGTATAAGTAAACAATGATTAACACAGTTCTAAGTAATTTTAATAAGAAAATTAACTATTTTAGTTTTGAATAGAAAACCGAAGAGTCAGTGCGAGTTGAAAAAAGATGACTCGTATGACGATAAGTGCGAAAACTCTATAAAGGACTTTTCTAGCAACACGAACACTAATTGGATCATGATTACAGTTTTTAATAATGTATTCGATGTGAATTTCGCAATCTATTATGCCAAAGAAAGAATAACCCTTGCATCGCAAGTATTCATTTTAAATTTAAAAAAAAAAATACAAATATTACGTTAACGTTTTAAAACAAATTTTGAATGTATTAATGCATATAAATCATAAATATTCCCATCAAATTCACGGATTCAGTTTTTTACATTGTCGTGAAGATATAGAAGAAATATTTTGACATTATTTTTAATCTGGACTACAGCATATGTATCTTAAATTTATCACAAATTAATTTGTCTAAAAATTGTGAAGAGTACATTCACGTGCTTCTGGCAAACGTACAAAATTTAATCCCACAGGCAGACAAGACAATGAAGATCTAAAAATTATTAAAAAAGAGAAGATGGAAGTGTTACTGAATGGATTAAGAGAAGATCTGAAAAGAAAGAATGTAACACACTCTTTTATACCTCAATGAACATCAATTTGTTGTTGTTTTCATTAATCTCAAGGACCCTAGTGGTTCTTGTGACCAGACAAGTACCTCTGTTACTTTCATTTTTGAGGCAACAAAAATAGTGGTGTACGAATAGCTGTGTTGCTTCATAAAAATAAGTCAGAAAATGACTATTAATATTCTTTAATAACGGCAAAGCAATGCTCACAAAATAAAATGATGCTCTGCAAAAAGAAATGCATTAAAGAAGATATTTCCAAGTTCCGGCTTGTTGTTGTGCATCTATCATGCTTCTGCAAACTTTAATTACAAAATTCAAAAATGTGACAGAAAAGCTGCAGTGACGTTATTTCGTTCTGTTTTATTTGGAAAAATAATACTGAATACGTTTAAAATTTCATAATTCAATCATTACAATAAATGATGAAACCCTAAAGCCAATACTCATTAAGAATTAATTTGTAGTCAAAGAGAGAAATGGTGTTTGCAATATCGTATTGATGTTTTGCATAGAGGTAACAATACAAACATTTATTGTAAAGCTACTGTCAGAATTTTAGAAGACGTATTATACAGGTGTAAAGTTTTTAAAATGTGTGAATTCACTGACTTAATCAAGGGTAATATACCAAGACCTTGATAGATTATCAGCTCTTTTTGTTGCGTCTAAATCTCGAGTATAATTGAATATCAATTTGATGAGACATAATTTCGGCATTAATAATCTGAGTAGAGCCTGTAAAGCTCGAGGGCTTTATGTTAGTTTTAATTCTGAAGAAGGGAAAAACGAATTATAATTTGATTTTAACATGGTTAAAATAAAAATAAATAGCACATGGAGGGGTGGGTGGCTCAGTGGTAGAGTCTCTGCCTGTGTATCCAAGGGTCCCATGTTTGAATTCCACCGTTGGCCGAGATTTTTTTATTTAATTTAATTATTTAAAATTAATTATGATGCCTTGGTAGGATTCCCCACTCGACCATTCACTGTTGAGTTCTAATTAACAGTGTTTTTTCTAAAGTGGCGCTGGGAAACAGTAACAAAGCCTACACAGAACACGAGGTTAATGGTCTTAGTAGTCGATGCCGATGACACCAAATAAAAAAAAATAGCACATGGTCAAGATTTATGTAGAAAACTAAAATAAATTTTTAATGAAGAGCAAAAGTTAAGATAAATATTCTTAGGATCATTAAAGTCAAAAAAGACATGAAAGTGGTAAAACTGCAGAATTTTGAAAAAAAGTTGGACATATTAAAATAAAAAGGGAAAAATACTTTTCTAGAGTATAACTGAAAATAAGAGGGAAACTTAAAAATAAATTAAATGTAGGGCTAAAGAAGAAAAAGTAGCAGGTAAGGCAGTTAAAATAGGCTAAACAAATATAATTATGAAAAACCAACAATGGAAGTGGAACGGAAGGTATATGAAATTGGAGGAAAAGAATACTAATAATAACCTAACAACTAGTTAACAAAACTATAATGCAATAAAACAAATGTAAAATATAATGAACGCGAGGACAAATAAAATGTTACAGTGACAAGGTAATTACCAACAAAAATAAAAGAAAACGTAGAAATAAAATTAGGAACTTGTAATGTTCAAGAAACGAATACAGAAGGGAAACTAATACATTAAGGAGGTCTTTTCGCCACCAATGTTAAATAAAAAATTTTAGATTATGACTAAATATTAATTTTTTTTCTAATAGTTGAAGTCCTTATTTATCTAATAGTGAATTTTTAACTATACCTTACCGTGCAAATTTTTGAGAAAAAAATTGTTAAAAATGTGAGTATTTGTACAGTGTCTTATGAGAAAGTAAGACCTCAACAACAATTTTCGAATTATAATTAAGTATACTATTATTCATTGATTAGATGGAGTAAAAAAAACTAAAAATAAGGTTTTTGAAATATTTAGATTTTGTTTTTTACAATAAAATATATAGGTTACCGTGGAAATTATTAAGAAATTAATATTAAAAAATCACAAAAAAATTTCAACTAGATTACTTGAATTTTTTTTTTAATATTAATTTCTCAATAAATTCCACGGTAACCTATATATTTTATTGTAAAAAACAAAACCTAAATATTTTAACAACCTTATTTTTAGTTTTTTTCTACTCCATCTAATCAATAAATAATAGTATAATTCGAGAATTGTTGTTGAGGTCTTACTTTCTCGTAAGACACTGTACAAATACTTACATTTTTAAAAAAAAATTCTCAAAAATTTGCACGGTAAGGTATAGTTAAAAGTTCACTATTAGATACATAAGGACTTCAACTATTAGAAAAAAAATTAATTTTAGTCATAATCTAATATTTTTTATTTAACATTGGTGGGGAAGGGGTGGCGAAAAGACCTCCTTAAGAGCAAATTTTGAGAGAATATAAAATGGATTATAATTAAAAAGAAGTTATATTCTTATGCTAAAGTTAAATATTTCGGGTAGGATTTATGGTTCAAAAGATACTACAAAATATAATACAAATTATATTTTATGATAATATCATTTAAAATATTTCGCTCCAGCTACTGTATAGGGGAACAAAACATGGGTAAATATTAGTCCTATTTTAGAGTAAAATGGATTGTTCTATGCATTTATGATCTCCTGAAAAATATTGATTTTTCAACTTACGGGTCCTGCCTTTTGGTCCTTTATAAGTATTATTATTGTACATGCACCTACGGAAGACGAAGAAAAAACGACTGACTACTATAAAAAATTAGAGAAAATGTATGCTAATCTACCCAAATTTGATATTAAAATAGTATACGGTAACTTAAATGCCAAGATAGGTAGGAAAAAAATGTATGGACCGGTAGGCATGTCCACATATAAATAGTAACGGAAATGGGGAAACTTATTGAATTTTCCACAGAACAGCGTTTAAGAATAATGGTTACTTTTTTTAAAGATAAAGATAAAAAATTGAAAATATTGTGGGTGATTACCAACCTGGGTTTAGAGAGGGAAAATAAATTGCAGATCATACCCATATATTAAGACAAATACAAGAATGGGCCAAAGAACATCGAATGAAACTTGATGCAGTATTCATTAATTTTACAGATGTATTGGATAGTCTAAAAGAGGCTAAATATACAAAATTTTTAAAAATTACAATATTTCTAAAAAAATATCAGGCTAATTAAAATGACATTAATTGACACTGGATTAAAAATAAAAGTTGGAAGGTCATTATCGCATAGTTTTTATGTACAACAAGGTTTGCGTCAAGGAGACCCACTTTCTATAGTTCTCTTTAATTCAATACTGCATCATGTGTTAAAAAAAAGTTACATAAAAATAAAACTATATTTTCAAAAAGTCACCAGTGTTTTGCATTTGCAGATGATATCGTAAAAGTTATTTATCAATTCCAGGTTTATTTAGGTTTATAAATTAACTAACAAAAAACAAAGTACATGGAAATAGGTTTTTTTTGCAGAAGAGAGGAAGGAATAACAAATTAAGAATAGAAGAAATTACTCAGAATAACTCTGGATTAGAACGGTATAAATAATTGGAGTTCATGTTTCATGAAGAATGTGGAAATTTCGAAGAAATAAAAGAA